TTTTGTGTGGATTTAAATATGATTTTAAATTATTTTTAAGTAGAATTTTACAGTAAAATGTTAAAAATATAATTTAACTTTTGGGAAAACTCAGATTTCTGATCTTATTCACAGTTTTCATCTGTTTTTTAAACATATTTATTTTATGACTAGCATGTAATTTATGACCTTTTTCCAGTAATTTTACAGGATAAATCTGTGATTTAACGAAACATCTGTAAAATGATATTTTTAATAAACTGATTTTTTTCTTTCAAATCATGTTTTTCTGTGTGAAATAAACTTTTCTACACAAGTTTTCACTTTGACCAATTCAAACATTAGTTTTTAGACTTTCTGACCTAAAAAATCATTTCATTTGTAATAAAGATTGTACATATTTGTTTTTTAGTTTTAAATCTCGACCTGCAGCTTCTTGTTTGAAACGTTGTCAGGACGTCACAGCTCCAGGCTGTTTCACACTCTGCTGAAGCTGAAATCCTAAATTCTTTATCTTCTACGTCTATGTTTTCTTCTATTTCACCTCCTCTACAGAGAATCTGGGCTTAAAAACACGACAAAACACTGATAAACAGTCACAAGACGCCAAATGAACGCAACCTCCAGGACTCACTGTTGTTGGTGAGTCCTGGAGGTTTCTACCTGGACAGTAACGGAGGCTCCACATGATACAGACACTTAAATACGTACCTTTATGTTCTGTTCCTGTGCTCTTCATCCTCATGGATTCATCGCAGCAGCTGATTGAGTTCCTTGAAGACGTTCCACCTCCATCCAAGAGGCTCCATCAGCTCTGACTGACTGGTTGGGAGTTCCAGGTATCCTGAAGGAGACGTTAACACCTGAGTTTTAATTGACCCACATAACGAGGGGGAGGAGCAACAACTCAGGTGTTAAGGTCTCCTTCAGGATATCAGTATGTGGAACTCCCAACCACTCAGTCAGAGCTGATGAAGCCTCCTGGATGAAGGTGGAACGTCTAATCCACCAGAAGAACCAGGACCTGGAGGACTGAGGATCTCCACAGACGTGTTCCGTCCTCGTCTCCATCTGAGGAAACTCTGCTGCAGTTCAACCAGAACCTCAGTTTTCTGATAAACAAATGGTGCAAAAACGACTTTTTTTCCAAGAAAAATACCTTTTATTTCATTATAAATCCACATAATTGTATCTATGAAAGCATAAAATCCCCATTTCGCTTGTTGTCGTCGTGTTTTTTTGTTGTTTTTTTTGTGTTTTGTTTTTTTTCTCCGTATCGTGGTCGTTTGTTTCGTTATATTCAAAGTAAATCATGGGTATCAAACCATCGAAGACTGTAAGGTGTATGTCACATACAAACACAGACACTGTCGAACGGCAAAGAGGGAAGAAGAAGAAGAAGAAGAAGAAGAAGAGAAGGAGGAGGAGGAGGAGGAGGAGGGACAAGTTCTGCCGGCCATCTTTTAACAAACCCGGCGTGGAGAGCTTCCGGTTCCGTCTTTTTACTTTTAACACTCCGACACAGAGAATCCACCAAACACACCGATTACTGATCCGCCGTCCGGAGGAGAGTCCGGGTCCGGCTGTTCCGGGTCCGGCTGTTCCGGGGACGAGCGACGGACGGAGAGGAGATGACGACGGGATGGAAACAGGTGATTAAAGTGCCAGAAGAAGAGAAGGTTCACCGTCTAGTCTGTTATTGGAGGAGAACGTGTGCGAGTTCTCCCAGAGGTTCTACTAAATACTGTCCATCCTTTGGCATGTGACTGGACGCTGGAGGAGACGGAGGCCGGTTCCGGAACATGTTCCCAGAAGTCCAGCGGAACCAGACGATCCAGTCAGAGAGGAGTCTCCGCTCTGGACCCAACGTGTCCGACCCAGAGGAGGCCTCCGAGCTCCGTCCTCCGGTCCTGGTCCCGGTTCCGGGGGCGTCGGAGGCTCGGCGGTTCTGATACCTGATCGTCAGGATGTGAAGGTTGAACCCAAAGAGGCACCTGGAGGAGAACCAGACGGAGACGGTCAGACTTCTGGAATAAAACCCGTTTGGTTTCATCAAACGGTCCGTCTGTGGTTTAACAGAACATCAGAGTTTAGTTAAAAAAAACAGATAATTAATAAAAAGAGTTGATTTTAATGTTAATCATTAAAAACAGAACAAACACAGAAACAGCAGTTTGTTCTTCTATCAGGTCTAAACGACACATTAAACCTAATTAAATATAATATTTACCTTTTTAAAGACAAATTATAAATTTATCGTCATTTTCACAAAATTGTTTGTGTTGATAAATTACAGTAAAATTATAATAATATATCAAATAATATAAATATAATAATAATAATAATACTAATAATAAATAATTTACACTGGTAAAAACAGACTAACTGTAAAAATGAAAGATCAACATCAAAAAGCTGTAATTTATAAATGGCTTTTTTTATTTTTTATTATTTTTTACAATGTTTGACCACAAATCACAGTTTACTGTATTTAAAGCAGCAAAATATATTATTGTTATTATCTTACAGATATTTGCAGTTTTTTGGAGGAAAATTCCGTCGATGAAGGAGTAAAGAACGAAAGAATTTCATTTATTTAACAGATTTTCCTGCTTTTGTCGATAATATCGAGTAAAATCACAGAAAAAAAAGTTTGAATGAATATGTGGACTGTAAAGAGCAAAACTGTGAATAATCTGTAATTTATAAATTAGAATGTTTGACCATAACAATACATATTTTTTAAAACTGTTTTTCAATCAGCTTAAACTATTAAATATTATTTTACAGATATTTGCCA